GGGTCGACCGCCTGTTCTCCGCCCGCCCCGGGGCTGCTGCCCTCGGAGGCCGGGCCCCAAGCTGTCCCCGGCAGAGCCCGCACGTATTTAGCGCGGTCGGCCGCCAGCCTCTCCACCGCGCTCCTGAGCGCTGGCCGCGCCCGGCCCGGGTGCCCGGGCAGCAGCTGCTCCATCCGGGGTGCGTCCGGCACGGGCAGCGCGCGCATCCCGCCGGCACTGCCGCTGGGCTCCCGTCCGCGGAGAGGCTCGGGCTGCGGCGCGTCGGTCAGGGATCGATTCCGAAGTCCGAGCAGGGCGGGGGCTGGCGTCCGTACCTGCCGCCCAGGTCCGGACCCTGCCGAGAGCGAGCCCGGCCGATTGGAGTCGCTCCAGGGCCTGCCCGCGGCTTCTCGTTCGTTGCCGGCCCTGCCGTCTTCCTACCCCTGGTAGAGGCTCAGCACCCGTCCGGCCCGCTCACCTTCCGCCCGCTCCGCCCAGCCCTCGCCTCCCTCCCACACCTCCAGCCCCGCACCTTCCGCCCGCTCCGCCCCGCCGCTCCACGCCTCCAGCCCTCTGTGCTCCTGGGGCTGGGAGGGCTTGGCTGCCAGGTCCCCGCTCCCCCCTCCCTCCAGAGGGCCGTGGGTCAGCGCTGGAGGCCAGCACCTCCGCGGTGGGGGAGGAAAGGGCAGGTGTCTCACGTCCTTTGAACTGTTAAGGTTGACCTCAGGGTGTTTGGAAACTTGACTTTAGTTTCCTAAATCTGTACCTGCGCACAGATCTTTATTTTCAGAAAAGAAATGGACATAAAGGAAAGAGAACGTGTGTAGGAGAGACTCTGTCGGTGTTGGGCGGAAAGAACCCAGGACCCACAGGGACCTGGGTCAGGTCCAGTGCCGTTACTGGCCGGCCGTGACCCTGACCCAGACCCGAGCAGGACTTAGAGGGCGAGGTCCGTGGATTTGGATGAAACCTGGACAAATGGCCAGAAAAGCTGCTGTTTTTACTGTAACCAAGGCAACAGGAAACCACGGGCTCACAAGACAAGTGGATCAGCCCAGGAATGCCAAACTCGTAAGAGAAAATATTTCCAAAATTCCATTATTTCCAAAAGCTGGACATAGAACTAGAAATATCTGCCGGCGTGCAATGCCTACCTTCTCTCTTGTGTTCCAGCAGCTCCTGAGGGGCAGGCCTCTCCCAGCTGTGGCTGCTGCTCCTCCTGGTGCAGGAGGGTGCTTGGGCTGGGACGTTGTTTCTGAAAGCATCTGAGAGCCTGCGGGCACCAAAGGTGGTGAGTCAGCAGGTGCAGCAGCAGAATAAACAGAACCAGGTTTGGCTCACTCAGGGAAGCCCCCCCGGCCCCCCACCACCGACGATCAAACAGCAGCAGGTTTGTGCCACGGGGGCCTTAGTCCCTGTAAGGCCAAACCCCATAGTCAGGGATGAAGTACAAGAAGCCCAGTCTCCTGAGATCCAAACTAGCCACCTCCACTCATTGGAGCTCATGGGAAAGATGGCTGTGGTCCTTCAGGTCAAGGAAAGGAGATGTAGATACGGGTGGGCAAGCATAGCTTTACAGTTGTTCATGTGGAAAAGATTACAACTAAATCGTAGCGCAAGAACAGGCTGTTAGTGCACTCACAACTGTAAAAAGACATGTTTGTTAAATTCTCTGTGTCGGGGGCTGTATTTTCCACATATCTCCACAGTGGGAGACACCATTGTAGCCCATACTAGTTATTGGAAGATCAGCATTTTCTTCAGCCTCCTAAACCTGTTTTAATGCAAGCCTATTTCCTCTTACTGATTTCCATAAAGTTTTGGGAAAACAGATCAATATCTCTTTATAAACACCATCTTCATAACAACGAGAAAGTGTTTCACTTGATAACTGCCTTCCAAGTTTCCTCTCTGTTCAGGCCTCACCTTCACTCACCAGGTTTTCATTCTCTTTCCTATAACCATTCTACAGCAGCTTAGAACGTCAGAAAACAAGAAAGTGAGTAGAGCCTTCCTGGTTCAAGGGGCGCTGAGTCAAGGTTCCTGGATCCAACAGGCCATGTTGCTGGGTGTGAGGCCTCGGGGTGCTTGGGCTGAGAGGGGTAGGCGGGGAAATGCTGGCCTAGTCCAGGCAGGAGCAAAGCCGGACACAAGATTCCTCAGGAATGTTATAGGGAAGCTAGTCACATGACCAAGTGATACAATTGTTCTCCTTAACCAGAGCCCAGAGCCCTTAACCTTGAGCTTAATACTTCAAATGCTGACGTTTTAACCCGAAGGAAAGAAAACATTGGTGTTAAACTGCAGGCAGGTGTTTGACTTATAATTCTCTATAAAGTTTTAGGGACTTTGTACCAACGTTTATCTTCAATGAATGTGGTTTCACATCATCTACTGGCATTTCATGTGCTACCTGGACTTGTTCTGAGAGGGCAGGTGAGATTTATGGAACCTGAAGAAACAGGATTATCTTGTCCATGGCTGTGCCAAGACATGAAGGGCTAACTGGGAAAGACAGTGATTGACATGTGTGGTACAGTGGGTATCTAAGAGTGTCACACGCAAGGGACATCACTTCACCCCCGAATCAAAGGGACGAGGAAGTTCCCAAAACCAGTTACTAAGAACTGGATACTAATGAAACAGGAAGGCAAGTAATAAATTACCTGTGCAAAGATATACTTTTAGAGGAAATTGCAAAGTTTAATAATTTATTTTGTACTTTAAGAGGATGTTTATTGATTTTGAGATAGTTTTTTTCTCAAAGACCTAGACACTGATGGGGCATGGAGCATGAACGTGTTTGCCCAGGTTCTGGCCCACACAGCAGGTTCTGACGATGACCCAGCTCTGGTGGGGAAGCCAGGAGGTCTGGGGTCAAAGCCTGGCTCTGTCACCTGCCAGTCATTGGCCCAATGATATTGCATTGGGACCGAGAGTTACCTCAGTGTCTCGTGGGGAGTGTGAGGGAGCATGTGAGAGTCTCCTACAGCCCTTTCCTGCCTGGGATGACTCCTTCCCCTCCCCTCATAGCCTCTGCTCAGCTGAGGCCTGGAGGGTGTGGGCACCTTTTCCAGGGCCTCTCTGTCCACAATATGCTTCTCCTCTGCAGTAGCTTCAGGGAAGTCTGTCGGAAATGTGTTAAAGGAACCCATTTAATATTCCAGGTGAGCAGACGGGTACTAGTTTTCATCCTCAAAACTCCATTTGTTAGGGTCCGGGAATGCCCTCAGGGGTCGGTGACGGGGCACCTGCTTCCACGGGTTGTGAAAGAGCCATGTCAGTTATGAGGATTGTATCCCAGTCTATAGTCAGATGAGGACAGAGTGATGCCCATGGAGCCTTCTCCATCCACCACCTTAACTTCCAGGAAAACAACAAGTGTGCACCGGGGGCAAGGTGCACCTGCGGCACACTCCCACAGTCTCACCGTTCCCACCCTTCCGCTGTTCCCACACCTTCCCAGTGACTCCCATTTCCTTGGGTCAAGGGCAGGTGATCCTCTTACCCCTTCAGCCTCACAGGTCATGGACTCACCTTGGCCAACAGACGGTCAGCAGACAGGAGCTGAGACTGAGCCCTGTGTCTGCCGCCCCCTCTTTGCTCTGCCGGCCCTTTTCCCCAAGGACCACAGAGTGTGGATGGCAGCTTTATTTTTTTTAATGTTCCCATTACAATTCTAATGTTAATAGAAAGATAGAATATATGCATGCATCCTATTTTCTTTCTATTAATATAGATCCAGAGAGGTTATATATCGCCTGTATATGTATATGAAGATTATGAATAAATATAACGTCTTTCAGCACATAGAAACTCCACAAGGCTGGTGGGGACTTCCAGGGGCAAGCCCCCAGCAATGCCACCGAGTTCACAGTTTATATTACAAACACCAGGAAACATGGACGCACGGCTGTGTCAGTCTCCGGTTGTTGCTGTGACAAATTTCCACAAATGTGACTTAGCGCAAATGTATCACTTAGTTCTGGAGGTCAGAGATCTACAATGAGTCTCCAGGACTTGGGAGAATCTCCTCGGGGGCCTTCCCCTTGTCTAAAGGTTACCCACTCCCCTTGGCTACGGTCCTTCCTCTCTCACCAAAACCACAGAACAGCATCTTCTCTCTCCTCTGACCCTTTCTTCTGAAGTAAAAAATTAGGTCATTATGTCCATTCCTATATCTTCACCTTTGAAGAAATCATTTAACTTCTTGGGATTTTGGTTCTGTCTTCAGAACAGATATAAACCACTGAATGCCTACCTTACAAAGACACCTGGAAGCGTATTGCAAAATATAATGCTCTTCAAATACAAAGAGGTATTGATCAGAGTGGTAGAAGGCACGCCAAGCACTGAGGAACTAAAGTTCAACTTGAAGTTATGACTTGAGGCAAGAAAGATTGCTCAGCGAGGAGGCAGAGGAAAATGTTCCCGTCGAGCCTTGAGGGTTTGGATGCTCCAGGGGGAGGGGGGGGGCCTGGGAGGTGGGAGCAGAGATACTGTTAAGGCTGGAGGTGAAGTTCATGAGCTCGAGGTAGCGGACAGGTCACGGCCAAATGGACAGTCATCGGAAAGATCAAGCCAAATCATGTCAGGTCGCCAAGGCCAGAGAGAGGCACCAGAGTGAGACTGTGGGAAACCCAAGTCAACAGAACACGTCCCCAGTAGCTGGTTGTGAGGTGAAGTGTGATATTGAGGTTCCAGGAGAGTGGGCTATGGCTTATTGGTCATTTGCAGCCACAGCTTGGTTGACTTCAGCCATTGCACACAGGTTGCCAGGGAAGGAAGCAGGGCTGAGGTTACACGGTGAGGTGTTCTCCTGGGGGAGGACCCTGAAATCCAAGGCTACTCATTAAGAGGGAACAACAAACAAAAAATGTAAATATAATGGCAATCAAATCTTATAGACTGAGGAGCCTAAGCCAGAAAACAGCAATTAACATTCTTCATCTGATACCAAAATAGTTAGAAAGTTCTTGTGTTATTCAGTGCCGTTAACATCTGCCATTCTTTAGAAAAGGCAAACCCTCTTTTATCAGTGATAATGACAGTTTCTTCAGGAAGCAAATGAGTTATTTTATACTTTTGTTAATTACAGAGAAGGAAACGTAAATTCTTCGGCTTATTTCCCAGTGTAGATGAAGCCTTCTCTATGAACAACTGTAAGGAAATACCACATCCTCAGAGACAAGAACCTACAGCTTTATGAAAGAGAAGAATTTAAGCATGTTTACAAGGCCTGACTTTACAGTAACCACTAACATGCACGTGTTAGGCTACATTCTATTCTAAAGTGAAATCCCCAATACATTGCTTGGTAAACCATGGTGTTCACTGGGAATAAGTTTGCATATAGAATCGTGGCCCGGAAGCAATGGAAGCACGCCTTAGTCTTCAGTGCAACTGAAAACCTGGTGATCAAGCATAAGGTGAAATTTGGGCTGCTTTCCCCAGGCGTGACTGATTTATTTTTAGTATGTGTCCTCTAAAAACAACAGTGGTATTTTCATGAGTTTTTTGTTTTTATAACTGAAATCACAGAGTTGGTTTAAAGTGGTGAATCAGGGCCCAAACCCAGGCCTGTAGAATTCTGAGCCCTTATTTCACTCAGTTCAGCCAAAGACTTTGCTCTGAGGAAGGGAAGAGCCAGGCTGCTAATGTACTAGAGGGGAGCTCTGGTATGGAGTACAGTTCCCCATTAGACCCTGGGTGCGGGGGGGGGGGGGGAGAGAGAGAGAGAGAGAGAGAGAGAGAGAGAGATGCATGTGCATGTGTAACAAAGTCAGCATGCAGGATGCAGATGCTCTGGGAGGGGCGGGGGGCTCAGCCCTCATCCACCAGAGGTTTGGAGGACACGGCAGCTGTGCTCTTGGAGACTGTGGGGCAGCTGCCCTGGGAGAGAGCTCAGCCATGTAACCCTAATCCCACCGGGTTTCCCTTCTAACCACAGCTCTGAAGTATGTTTACTTTGTCTCACTTTGCTAACAGCCTGTTAGTAGACACTTGGTTTGATAAATGTCATCAGACGCCTCACCTGCATGGTGTGAACGCTGGCTCCTGCAAACTACGTTTGATTTTGCAGAGGCCTCACCCCTTGCCCCTCGGGCTTGGCATTCGTGATCCATCTGCTGACATGAGACTGTATTCTGGGTTTCTGTACTGGTGAGAGCTGGAATGAGCTCTTATGAACCCAAAAGTCCTGCTGTCACACCCAGGAAGGTGGGCTCTCCATCGTTCACGGGCGACTCAGATGGAATATTCACCAAGCAGATGTATGCCCCTCCCTCCCTCCCTCCCTCCCTCAGGAGGACAGCGCCACTCGCTGGGGTCCCTGGGACAACAGTGGTGTAAGCGTCAGGCTCACACAGGCTGTAATCCTATTTCTGCATCTCATGGAGCCACATGAACTCCCTGGCCCTCCTGGTGTGACACGTGGAGTGTGTCTGACTTTATGTGGGCAAAGGCATGGGTGTTCTCAGGAGGGTATGGCTGGACTTCCCGATGCACAGGGGTGAGGAGTCCGTCATCAGAGCAGGTCAGACTCATCACAAAGGTCATCGCTGGTCTCTAGTCCACATGGTCCCTGGAAATGAAGGTCTTCTCCTGTGTGCGGGTGAGGGAGCCATTACCCCCTCCAGCGGCTGTGGGTGAGGGTGCAGGCTCAGTGGGGTGCAGTCCTGGTGGGCACATTGCTATCGTCTGGAGGGCCATCGGCTGGGGTCCTCAATGGCAAAGGCTGCTGGGGTTCCTGCTTTGCTTTCCCCACAGGGTAAGTTCCAGCCCCAGGACTCCCCTGGCAGGGTCCGGCACACAGGCCCTCAGAGTGGGGCAGGCCTGAGTCCTGGGCTCAGGAGGGTGGAACTGCTGGGCTCCAGGGGCCGGGACACAGTAGCCATGGCAGTGGTGGTGGCACCAGTGTCTGAGGTACGACAGTGACAACCTGCCGACTAGGGCCCAGGTGTCTGGGGCTCACCCTGTGCCTCAGGTGGGTGGGGGGGAGCGTGATCTGGGGCACAGCAGTGGGTGCTCCAGCCCTGGGAGGTCGGAGGCAGGCACGCCGGGAAGCCCCTCCCTGGGATTGAGCCTTGGCAGCCAAGGCTGCAGGTGTCAGTGACATCACCTCCAAAGGTGCTTTTGAAACAAACATAATGTAGTCAACGAGTGTCTGTGACACACTTTCAATACAATTTCCATTATAGAGTAGTTTTAGACTTACAGACAATTGTGAAGATAGCACAGAGATTTGTATACCCTGTATCCAGGTTCTTCTGTGATTAACATCCTACATTCGTGAGGTTTATTTGTCACCATTGATGGCGATGCGACAAGTCTAAGGGGAGCAGTCTGGGAAGCCCAGGATGCCATGTCCTCCCTGGGGATCCGAGGGTTGCAGCTCCTTGTGACATGGGGGCAGGTGCTGGTTTGTATTTTAAAGTGAGCCAGAGAGATCGAGAGAAAATGGCTCCAGAGGCTGCGTTGGAGAACTAGTGTCAAAGTAGCTCAGGGTGGACCATTATCCCCAGATTTGGAGAAGTCACAGGCACATTGGTGAAAAATATCTTGCCTTACATGCTTGAGTGTTTGGACTTAAAGTTCCTCAACGTGTTGACTTGGCACTGACTCCGTTTCCTGCGTGTTCGGAAACCACATTGTTACATGTTGTCTGACCAATGGAATCCTTTCAAAGAAAATGACCCACTGGGGTGTATTTTCATGAGGAATTATACCTTCTGTCTTATAAATGTAAATATCTTAAATGATAGGTCTCGTGGTTGCAAATTGTAGGTCTTATGCATCCTCACAGGGGAAAAATGTGCTCTAGGAATTGAAAACTTTACAAGCTGACTTTAAAATGGGTTGGCAGCTGACATATAATCCTAACACAGCTTTAATCAGAAAAATATGTTCTAACAAATTGGCAGGGAAGCCGGCAGTGAATGAGTGATGGCACAGCCACCTTGTGGTCTCAGGCGCTCTGGGGACTATTGCGTTTGCTGGGATGGAGGTTTCTATGCTTTTGTGCATGTTTTTGTTTACACACCACAGGTTTAGGTTAGTCACACCTCTGACTCAGGAGACTCTCCCCTGCCTGGAAGTGAGTTCACCTTTGGTAACTCTGTACTTCCCAAAGCCACACTTTCACAACCGGGGGGCGTGTCCACTCTCAGGTCTGCAGAGACGGGCTGTGTGCACTGTCTCACCACCACGTGTCGCAAACCCAGAAAAGGAGGCCCCGAGTTTAGAGTTTGCTCAGAGTTCCAGAGCCAACTCAGTAGAAAAGGGAAGTCCGGGACCAGTGTCCTGGCTTGTCGGCCAGTAGTTTTGTGGGTTTTGTTGTTCTCGTTCGGTTCATAAGGTAGACATGAGTCTACTGTATGCACATACTCCCTAGGTTACTCCCGCACGGGGGGGCACTGCTGGAAAGTGATGACTCGAGAGACGTCCCCTGTGAATCTCTCTCCACTGACAGCTCTCCTGGACGGCACACGGTCCCCCCTCGCTCTCCTGGTCGTGACGCACGGCATCTCTTCTCGTGGGTCACTTGCCATCCTGGGCCTATCCTGATGGTTAGTTCCTCTGTGGTTAAATATTTCATATACTCACAGAATCTTGACCCCCCGACTTACTTCCAATACGTGTAAAATCGAATTATTTCATGAAGTTAAGTGTTAAAAATATAAATGAAACTCTCTCTCGGGATGGTCAGGGGTGTTTTTAAACGAAGTCCTCATAGCCTTGAGAAGACCACATAATCCCACCCGCTCTCTCAGGGAGGGGTGTTTGTACCAACAATCCCTACTAACTAAATGGAAGTCAGACAATCCAAACATAGTAATTCAGAAATAATGAATTTCCCTGGGAAATCCAGCAGCTTTGGCCCGGGGGCTGCATCGAGATATCTCCTCACTTATGTGGAGAAATGTGATAACAGAGGAGAAAGAACCAGTTCATTCTGGAAATGAGTGTTCTTCACACAAACTCTTAATGGTGAGAATTAGAATTTATATAGATACTAGAGGCCCAGTGCATGAATTCATGCACTGGTGGAGTCTGGCCCACCTGGCCCCAATCGGGGTGGATTGGGGCTGGGCCTGTCAGGAGGAGATGGCTGGATGGGCTGGCCCTGCCCCTAAATGGGGTGGAGGGGGCCAATCGGGGACCAGCGACCTGGGGGAGGGGCCATGGGTGGTTGGCCAGCTGCCCCTGCCCTTGATTGGGGTGGGGGGGTGATCAGGGGTGGGGCCTGTCGGGGAGAGGCTGTGGGCCAATAGTGGGGGCCCACCAGGGGCAGGGCCGGCCAGGGGGAGGGGCTGCAGGAGGTTGGCCGGCCAGCCCCAGCCCCTATTGGAGTGGGGAGGACGATTAGGGGTGGGGCGGCTGGGGGGCGGGCTGGGGGCCGATCTGGGTGGGGCAGGCAGATCGGGGGGCAGGGCTGGCCAGGGGGAAGGGCCATGGGGGGGTGTTGGCCAGCCATCCCCACCCCTGATCCAGCCGGTTCGCTGGCCTCAGTGGGTGTCATAGTGACCAGTTGTTCTGGTCGTTACAGTGTTACGGTCTCTGGCTTTTTATATATATAGTTAGAGAAAAGACAAATTAAAGGCACTTGTCACCTGTACATGTAGGTTAAATACTCATATGAAGTCTGCTAAAAAAAAAAATTCAACCAAGTAAACTTAAAGATCTAATTGGCTTTACTAAACGCTTCATGAACCAGGCAGCTTCCCATTTGACAACCAGGTCACTCCCAAGAGTGGGACAAGAAGCAGTTTCTTATAGGCAAAAAGGGAGTGGGACAAAGATGTTAAAAGAGTGAATTTTTCAGACAATGTGACCTTCACTTAGGGGAAGTCAGGGGTCTTATCACACAGATTAGCTTCCTAGTGCTGACCAGGAAATTCCTAACTGGTGAGAGAAGAGTGAAGATGCGGAGTACGTAAAATAGAGTCACTTTAACCAAGCTGCTGGAATTATTAACATTATGAGGTTGGAGACACAAGGAATGACCCTAGTTGTATGTAGCCTGGGAAGCTAAGCTTTTGGAGATTTCCGGTCCTGTATCAGTAGCCAAATGTACACCTGGATGTGGGCCAGATCTCCAGATAACCTCAGCTCAGCCTGCAGGACTAGCATCCAGACCATGTGAGGCCACTCGATAGCCATCGCCCCGACTACAGGATGTGACCAGATGCCCTGGCATCCATCATCAGCCCCCTGACATCTGACTGATGAGCCTCCTGGACCAGGGCAAGGGCTGAAAAAGCAGGATTATTCTCAAGAACGGACTTTGAACTGTAAGAACGCTTAACTTTTCCATCTTTTTCAGAACACTTCTAGGTTTCTGCCCAGCTGTGTTCCCAGTTCGCAAACTCTAAGACTCTTGAATAAATCTTTAACTTGTATTTCTAGCACAGCCTCCAGACTCTTTGAATTAATTCAACGTTGCTTTAAAATTCCATTCCTGGGAGAAGCTGAAACTGCAATTAGTTAAGTTATTATTCTTGGTGGGACTTAACAAAAGTGACTCCATTTTGGGTCTGTTGTTTCTTTAACATGTCAAACCAAAAACATTTACCTCACAGCTGCAAAGTGCTGAGACCTGAGGCTATCAGAGTTCATGGTATATTTTGAGGATTTAATTGAAGTTACTAAATATATTTCTTAAGGTTTGCAGCCTCTCACATGTCCACTGCATATATGTTTTTAATTACACAAATATTTAAGAATCTCAGTGATGTTACAGACTGTATTGCAGGAACATGAAGATGAATAAAATGGGAAAACGATTAAGTACATTGAGCATGTATATTTCTGCCAAGTGGATATCAATTTCAACACTCATTAGGGTGAGAAGAGCTAAATTCAGAGAAGAGATTTCACAGTTTTGATAAACTCTTCAATGCAAATTGTTCTGTAATGCTACATTAGCCCTGAACAATATTTTATTGCTGTTACCAATTCTGATAAAAATTGCTGCAGGGACAGTGACTCCTTCTGCCTTTAGTTTCACAGATTTGATTCTTGGAAAAAGTCAGTAGGAGTTACACCCACGTCCCTGAAGACACTGCTTTCCTGGGGCTGTGATGCTTCCCAGGACTTGGGGCAATTCTAGGGAGAGTAATCGGCCTCCGAAAAGATGCCCCATAGACAGCATGGCTCAGAGGCCGGCCACGTAAGAGATCACAGGATAAAAAGGGTTGGGCCACAGGCCCTACAAAGTGTAAAGAGAAGTGTTTATTGAAGTTAGAAAAAAATCTCTTTTGGAGAATAGGCAATTTTCATATGAAGTGAAGTAAGACATTAGAATGAGTCACATTCTGTGAGCATCTGACTTCCGTCCCTGTTGGGCAATACCCATGATTGCATTGTGAGCAAGAAGCCCGGCACACATTTAAACTCCCTTATTTTGTTTTTAGCAGAAATATATAATTTATCAAGTGTCAACATCGACAGCTTCCTTTGAAGAACGTCCCGGAACTTTCTGGCTGTTTTGCACCATGACTAAAATGGGACATCACGGGATTGGGCAACGGGAGGGGAGGAGCTATTCTGATGAAGACGGTCCAAACCAAGGGTGAGCTGTGTGGACCTAAGGCTCCTGCATGACGACAAAAATAAGATTTCATACAAAGATTCTTGTGACCAAGAAGCATGCGCATTCGCAGTTGTCTATTATGATAAAATATAAGTTCATCGTGAACATTTTAAAAATTCAACTATTTTAGCCAGTTCTGGGTTCCTAGAAGATCTTATTTTTAAAATGTTTGATTAAAACCAAAGGCTCAATCATCATCAACAGCAGCAGATTACTGAAAGCTCACTGTACAGCTGGGCACTTGGCTTCATACCCAACGTGAGCGATTCCATTTCCTTCTGTGGCTCCCTGAGGAGACCCATCCCCGGGCAGCACAGCAGTGATGAGAAGCACTGAGCACTCACATTCTGTCCTTCACTTGCTTAGAACCTAGGGGCACAGTAAGTTAGGGCTGATAATGGCCCTGACCTCACAGAATAAGTGAGTGGAAAAGTAAAACACTGGGAAAATGCCCACTGCTGTTAATGAAAACCTAGGCGGAGGCCAGGTCAGTAACTTGCTCAAGGCCACATTGATAAGAGGAGGAAATCTGAGAATTTTAACCCCCCAGGCAGTCCAACTTCAGAGAACTCTCAACTACTCCACTGTCCTACAAGAAAACCTTAACAGGTGACATTAAATTACTTGAAGTCATGTTCTCTTCCTGGGCACACAGCCAGATCAAATTTGCAAGCATTTTTTTGCAGGTAGATGAGGACATAAGAAAAAATGGGTAGGAGGATTTTGAAAAAAACATTTGAGCTGGGTATTGAAGCTTCAGAAGGAGCGAGTTGGCAATTCTGAACTGCAAGGCACACTCTGTGCTTCTCTGTGAACTTGGATCTTCTGGGTGATGTTGAATAAAAACCGATTTGTTCCTTTATGGCTTTCTGGTTTTATAGAATTCTTCTTCTGAATAATAATCAGAATTTGAATGTTATGTACATTAGTCTTCTCAGCTCTATTTCTAGTGTTATCAAGTTCTTTATGTCCTGTTTATTGCAAAAATAAGTCCAAAAGCAGGAGTTTTCCTATCATTGCAGGGTAAATCTTCCTTAAAGACAAACACCAGTTTATCCTCACTGCACAGCAAGCTTACTCAGTAGCTACATCTAGTGGGTTTCCTGAAAATTGTTCTATTTTTGCCCAGAGTAGATAGGCCGAAGGATCGCACATAACACAGTGCAGTTTATTAATTCAATATTTGAAATTCTCACTGCACCACAGTCCTTGACAGCTTCATTTACTGTGTGTGTGTGTGTGTGTGTGTGTGTGTGTGTGTCTGTCTGTCTTTCTGTCTGTAGGTTCCCACGTTCAAAACGTTATTTTGTAACAAAAATTTCAAAAGAAATCTTGAGCCCGGCCCGTGGCTCAGTGGTTGAGCATTGTCCCATGAACCAGGAAGTCAGGATGCCATTCCCCGTCAGGGCAGGTGCCAGGTTGCAGGTTCCCCAGCAGGAAGCACACAGGAGGCAGCCGACTGATATTTCTCATGGATGTTTCTCTCTCTCTTTCCCTCTCCCTTCCTCTCTCTGAAGTCAATAAAAACCTACTTTCAAAAAAAGAAATCTTGATACTATATTATCAGTGATACTTAAATTTCAATCTTGCCTGTAAAAGGTCCTCATAATCTTGATTTGGTGGAATTATTAAATCTTTCATTCAGTTCTTCACCTATACCAATAGCTACCATTCACTGAAAATGTAATGTGTCGAGTCATGTGCTAGGTGCTTTCACCTCATTACCTGTGTGCCTTTCACAACAACACTAAGACAGAAGTGTACTTATTCCATTAAGCTCTGAGGGCTGGCAAGCTCCCTGGAGGCTGGTAGCAGCTGTGGGAACGTGGCGTGGGGACGCCTTTCCAGAGTGTCTGACTCCGGAGTCTGTCTGGGTCGGGGACACAGACAATGTGGGGCACGGTGTGCTCCATGGAGCCTCAAAGAGCTGGAAGGGACAAAGAAACCTGGAATGTAAGACAGTGGGTGGTAATGTAGGAATCGATGACGTTTATGCTGAGGCGGCTAACATACCGGGAGCTGCCTGGTCCATGAGGGCCCCATGGGGGAGGACTGAGCCACACTTTGACCACATGCAGCATCTCCACCAGAACACTCTCCAGGGTGATGACGAGGAGGTGGGATCAGCCTGGCCTATGCCCAGAGGGGTGACCAAACATATTTGCCTTCATTCAGAACTTTGGTTTTGAGAAGTGGGGGGAATTTGAACCAGACTGATCAAGGGTTGTAAACTAGAAGGCTGAAGGCTGCTGGGAGCCCACAGATGTGTTATGGTAACAATCTGCATAAGCGACTGGCCAGCAGGGCGCCCTCTGCTGGTGGGACCAGGACACTGTGCCCCGCCGGGCCAGCAGGGAGCCTCCTTTAGGAGGAGGTGTGTGAATATCCCCGCACCTGCCTAGCGGCCGCCCCTCTCCCCCACCACACACACACACAAACACACACACACACACACACACACACACACACACACACACACACACACTCTGTGCCCCCAGACTATGTGATCATCCTTGATTCCCAGGGAGTGACCTGGGGAGGCCCAAGCAGGAAGCCGGAAGCCAAGAGAGGGCACCCAGCTCTGGCTTCCACGGGCTGGCTGTAGGAAGGACTATGCTCCCTGCCTGTCTGCCTCCCCCGCCTCCCTCCTGACCTGAGTGTGGCCCTGCCCCTAACCTTGCTCCCTCCTTTGTAAGCAGCTTCTTCCTTACACCTTTCCCAGCCACCCTGAGGCCATGCCAGGAGTTGGGGGTCAGGCTCTCCACCCCTGGGATTTGGGAGCTGCTGGTCCTCCTGCTTTGCACAGGCTCAGCCCCAGGCCCTGCTGCTCACAGCACCGGGATGGGTCTCGCTTGTCAGCACTTTCACACCGTTTTTGTCATTTCTCTCTCCTCTTCCACTGAGCCCTTTCCTTTTGCCCAGAGCCAATGGAATCCATACTCTAAAAATCATCAAACTGCAATACAGAAATAAATAACTTGTTTGCATTAAAGCAGCCACAGTATATAGTTTACTGCCTCACAAGGATGGGAACCCATCCCGGTCAGAAGAGATTCCCCAGACAATAAATAAATCTGCTTTTCCCACTTCATGCTCTGGCTGCTCTCCATGCTGTGTGGGCCTTTGGCGAGTCTGAGTAGTAATCAAATCTTGATTTGTGTGAGGATATGGAACTTTTCCCTCATGATAAATGCAGAGGAAATTTGGAAGTGACTGTTCCCTCCCAGGCCTTGCTGCCTGGGAGTCCTGTTTACTGGAGTATCCAGAAGCGATGATGACATTTTCCTTTCGTTTTCCATTTTACAAACACCGATTATTCATTTTCAGTGTATGATCCTCACCTGTCACTGGTGGTGTTGAATACTACAGTCCAACTCTAAAACAGCTGCACATCAACACACCAAACTTTTAGTCTGAATCTGATTTCAACACTTTCCCGCCTGGAATGGATGCTTGATAATACAATTGAGTATTTGACTTTTCAGAAGCACAAAATAATGACCTTCCTGCGGGGCACGTGGCTGTGCAAAGGCTTGGCATGCAGTCACGTAGGAAAGGCGTGTGGACACTTATCTGTGGCTCCATGTGTGTTCCCATAAAGACACACACATGGGAGCACGTCGGAGGGAACACAAGTCGCCTCACAGACAGAACCTCCTGATAATGAGATTGGACAGAGGCTGCTTCCACTGTGTGTCCCCTCCCTCTGGACCTGCCCTGGGTTTTAAGCTGACAAACCCCAGCAGGTACTGGATGAAGTTCCAGTTACACATGGTTGATCTTGGTTTTGAGACAAAAGAAAAGGCCACATGATATTTGCAAGGGTGTCTATTATGCTAATATTACACCGCCTGCTACATAAAGACTCCAAATGAAATGTCTCATTCTTAGTACCCAGAGAATATGTTTTTCTGAATGAAAACCCAAGCACTTTAGAATTATAATTCAGTTTTCATAGTTCAGGGTTCTAACACTGGGATATTTTCCAAACTTAAAGATTTTATGATTTATTTAAATCTAAAATTACAATTAAACACTTCTATTTTGGAAATACTATTTAAAAAATAAAAGGGCAAGCCACAGACTGGGAGAAAATATTTGCAGAACATGTGATAAAGAATTTGTATCCAAAATATACAAAGAACTCTTAAAATGATGGTAAGAAAACAACCCAATTCAAAATGGGCAGAAGATCTGAACAGATACCTCACCAAAGATGTACAAAGATCCACAGATGGCCCTAACTGGTTTGGCTCGGTGGATAGAGCGTCAGCCTGCAGATCGAAAGGTCCCAGGTTCGATTCCGGTGAAGGGCATGTGCCTTGGTTGTGGGCACATCCCCAGTAGGGGGTGTGCAGGAAACAGCTGATCGATGTTTCTCTCTCATCGATGTTTCTAACTCTCTGTCCCTCTCCCTTCCTCTCTGTAAAAAACCAATAAAATATATTTTTTTAAAAAGATCCACAGATGACCAATAACTACATGAAAAGATAACATCATAGGTCATTAGGGAGAAAGGGGTTTGCTTGTATGACTGTCACCAGGGACAGCGACCAGCGGGAGGTGAAAGGTGACCTGAGACTAACACAACAGATAAGGAAGCCAGTGTGGAGCCTCCTGGGGCACATGCGGTAGCAAGGTACCTGGAGAACCAACGGCGCATCGTGGATCAGCCTCACTCCCCACCTCAACTCTCCCTGCAGCAACCAAGCCTGGGCCTTCCAGAGAGGAGAGGGGAGGAGAGAAAGGAAATCGACTGGAACAAAGACACCGCCTTCTAATATCGGGGAAATCTTCAGCACACTGACTGACTCCCATCAAATGACCCCAAGAAAGCCCCTAAACCAGTGGTCGGCAAACTGCGGCTCGCAAGCCACATGCGGCTCTTTGGCCCCTTGAGTGTGGCTCTTCCACAAAATACCACATGCGGGCGCACATGTACAGTGCGATTGAAACTTCGTGGCCCATGCACAGAAGTCGGTATTTTGTGGAAAAGCCACACTCAAGGGGCCAAAGAGCCGCATGTGTCTCGGGAGCCGCAGTTTGCCAACCACTGCCCTAAACAAGCCTCACAAATAACACAGCCCTGCTCACCTTTGTTAGGTGGCACCTAACAGTGAACTGAAAATGAGGCATCGCCAGATGTTTAAGGGAACCTGCTCCAGGGAGAAGAGATGAAAGTAAACCAGCAGATATGATCGTTTTTGATAAACTACCCTCTAACAAAATGAGACACAAAAAGCATTTTTATTGTTTAATGTTCATCTAATAATACTGTTTAGGGTTTCAGCCATGCCAAGGTCTTACTTTGATGTATTTTTAATGAGTAGGATAAACCATATCAATTGCCATTTGCATAGGTAAAAATGGTCAAATACCAGCCATTACATATATTCAACATAATTTTTTAAAAATAGAAAGGACAGCCCTAACTGGTTTGGCTCAGTGGATAGAGCGTCGGCCTGCAGACTCAAGGGTCCCGGGTTCGATTCTGGTCAAGGGCATGTACCTTGGTTGCCGGCACATCCCCAGTGGGGGGTGTGCGGGAGGCAGCTGATTGATGTTTCTGGCTCTCTATCCCTCTCCCTTCCTCTCTGTAAAAAATCAATAAAATATATTAAAAAAAAAAATAGAAAGGACAGAATTATTCCAATATCTAGGCCAGCAACCAAGGAAGTAGCAAAAAGTAGAGGGTCTTATAAATGGACAATAGTAGCAAGATCTGGGTTTTAAATTTTAGAAAACAAGCTGATTTTTAACTGTTGTGAAATCCAAGACCAAGTAAATGAAGCTACCTGCTGAACACAGCTTTAATTTGCACATGATTAGCGGAGAAGGTTCTGGAATTCAGGGTGACTGACT